CTGAGGAAGAGATAAGGAATAGAGATAAGCCCTTCGTGTGAATTTAAAGTAGTTTCATTGTTTACTTCCTGGGGGGGAAGCAGTGTTTACATTTAAATGTTTATGTACAGATTTGTGATGTTTAGATTCGGGTTTTCATTCACATGTAAATATACTGACTTTGAATGTTCAGGAGCGAACTATACAATCTGTGGTTTACTGTGGATCTCTTGAAGCTCCTCCGCTTCCGGACAGGAACCGAGGACGCAGCAGGAGGCGTTTTCCCTCTGGATCGCCACACTGAGGCGCTGAAACAGGAAACTGGCAGCCTTTGGGTCTTTGGTGATGTCAACGAGACTAGAACCCGATTCTTTGAGAAATCCCAAGGAATTCCTTCCCCAGGCACCAAGTGTCTCAGACGCCATGGGAACAAAGATGTGTCTTGATTTTAATTGATTTTGCTGTTTTCTCTGTGGTTGGCCGCCCCACCTGCTTGATCAGCACCCAAGTGTATGTAGGTGTCAGCCAGGGCGGCTACACATGTGTAGTCCCACACCTGCTGTTTACCGACCTACCAGGGATATACTGTGATGCCATATGGGTGAATTGCGGGAACGCGCACTTTTGTCCGTTTAGGATGCGAGGTTCTCTCTCTGCTGGACACTGAGCTGTGGCAAGGCTCCTCTTGATGTCATTAGCCTCAATATGTCTTGCACACCTGCCCTTGGAGCTCCCGTAATGCATCTCATTCAGTCCATATTGGTCTGCTGTCAGCCTCATCATACCCATCATACACATCATACCCATCATATTCATTATTACTGATGAGGGTCGGGCTTAAGGGCTTGGCGGCACCTTAACTTAGTGCCCTTGCTCTCGTTCTAACTTCAATAGCCCCCTTAATGTACCATTCTTATTCTCAATTACGAGTCCATTCTAGACCCAAAATTCCCCCATTCCAAATTCCAGGTTCCCTATTTTCTATTCCAAGTTTGCAATTCCTATTCCACCCGCGGACCGTTAAAAGTCTGTTCACTTTTCCTCAAACACCGAAAGTCAGTCAAGTTTGAAAATGTCTCCAGGCTCTTACACGAGGGAGAGGTGGGAGGGAGAGGTGGGAGGGAGGAAGGGAGAGGTGGGAGGGAGGAAGGGAGAGGTGGGAGGGAGAGGTGGGAGGGAGGAAGGGAGAGGTGGGAGGGAGAGGTGGGAGGGAGGAAGGGAGAGGTGGGAGGGAGAGGTGGGAGGGTGAAGTGGGAGGGAGAGGTGCGAGGGAGAGGGAGGGAGGGAGAGGGAGGAGGGAGAGGTGGGGGGAGAGGTGGGGGAAGGAAGAGGGCAGGACAGAGAAAGAGAGAGATAGAGAGAGAGAGAGAGGAGAGAGAGAGAGAGAGAGAGAGAGAGAGAGAGAGAGAGAGAGAGAGAGAGAGAGAGAGAGAGAGAGAGAGAGAGAGAGAGAGAGAGAGAGAGAGAGAGAGAGAGAGAGAGAGAGAGAGAGAGAGAGAGAGACAGCTTCACCAAACACACTAGGGGTCCACTAGGTACACAGAGACAGCTTCACCAAACACACTAGGGGTCCACTAGGTACACAGAGACAGCTTCACCAAACACACTAGGGGTCCACTAGGTACACAGAGACAGCTTCACCAAACACACTAGGGGTCCACTAGGTACACAGAGACAGCTTCACCAAACACACTAGGGGTCCACTAGGTACACAGAGACAGCTTCACCAAACACACTAGGGGTCCACTAGGTACACAGAGACAGCTTCACCAAACACACTAGGGGTCCACTAGGTACACAGAGACAGCTTCACCAAACACACTAGGGGTCCACTAGGTACACAGAGACAGCTTCACCAAACACACTAGGGGTCCACTAGGTACACAGAGACAGCTTCACCAAACACACTAGGGGTCCACTAGGTACACAGAGACAGCTTCACCAAACACACTAGGGGTCCACTAGGTACACAGAGACAGCTTCACCAAACACACTAGGGGTCCACTAGGTACACAGAGACAGCTTCACCAAACACACTAGGGGTCCACTAGGTACACAGAGACAGCTTCACCAAACACACTAGGGGTCCACTAGGTACACAGAGACAGCTTCACCAAACACACTAGGGGTCCACTAGGTACACAGAGACAGCTTCACCAAACACACTAGGGGTCCACTAGGTACACAGAGACAGCTTCACCAAACACACTAGGGGTCCACTAGGTACACAGAGACAGCTTCACCAAACACACTAGGGGTCCACTAGGTACACAGAGACAGCTTCACCAAACACACTAGGGGTCCACTAGGTACACAGAGACAGCTTCACCAAACACACTAGGGGTCCACTAGGTACACAGAGACAGCTTCACCAAACACACTAGGGGTCCACTAGGTACACAGAGACAGCTTCACCAAACACACTAGGGGTCCACTAGGTACACAGAGACAGCTTCACCAAACACACTAGGGGTCCACTAGGTACACAGAGACAGCTTCACCAAACACACTAGGGGTCCACTAGGTACACAGAGACAGCTTCACCAAACACACTAGGGGTCCACTAGGTACACAGAGACAGCTTCACCAAACACACTAGGGGTCCACTAGGTACACAGAGACAGCTTCACCAAACACACTAGGGGTCCACTAGGTACACAGAGACAGCTTCACCAAACACACTAGGGGTCCACTAGGTACACAGAGACAGCTTCACCAAACACACTAGGGGTCCACTAGGTACACAGAGACAGCTTCACCAAACACACTAGGGGTCCACTAGGTACACAGAGACAGCTTCACCAAACACACTAGGGGTCCACTAGGTACACAGAGACAGCTTCACCAAACACACTAGGGGTCCACTAGGTACACAGAGACAGCTTCACCAAACACACTAGGGGTCCACTAGGTACACAGAGACAGCTTCACCAAACACACTAGGGGTCCACTAGGTACACAGAGACAGCTTCACCAAACACACTAGGGGTCCACTAGGTACACAGAGACAGCTTCACCAAACACACTAGGGGTCCACTAGGTACACAGAGACAGCTTCACCAAACACACTAGGGGTCCACTAGGTACACAGAGACAGCTTCACCAAACACACTAGGGGTCCACTAGGTACACAGAGACAGCTTCACCAAACACACTAGGGGTCCACTAGGTACACAGAGACAGCTTCACCAAACACACTAGGGGTCCACTAGGTACACAGAGACAGCTTCACCAAACACACTAGGGGTCCACTAGGTACACAGAGACAGCTTCACCAAACACACTAGGGGTCCACTAGGTACACAGAGACAGCTTCACCAAACACACTAGGGGTCCACTAGGTACACAGAGACAGCTTCACCAAACACACTAGGGGTCCACTAGGTACACAGAGACAGCTTCACCAAACACACTAGGGGTCCACTAGGTACACAGAGACAGCTTCACCAAACACACTAGGGGTCCACTAGGTACACAGAGACAGCTTCACCAAACACACTAGGGGTCCACTAGGTACACAGAGACAGCTTCACCAAACACACTAGGGGTCCACTAGGTACACAGAGACAGCTTCACCAAACACACTAGGGGTCCACTAGGTACACAGAGACAGCTTCACCAAACACACTAGGGGTCCACTAGGTACACAGAGACAGCTTCACCAAACACACTAGGGGTCCACTAGGTACACAGAGACAGCTTCACCAAACACACTAGGGGTCCACTAGGTACACAGAGACAGCTTCACCAAACACACTAGGGGTCCACTAGGTACACAGAGACAGCTTCACCAAACACACTAGGGGTCCACTAGGTACACAGAGACAGCTTCACCAAACACACTAGGGGTCCACTAGGTACACAGAGACAGCTTCACCAAACACACTAGGGGTCCACTAGGTACACAGAGACAGCTTCACCAAACACACTAGGGGTCCACTAGGTACACAGAGACAGCTTCACCAAACACACTAGGGGTCCACTAGGTACACAGAGACAGCTTCACCAAACACACTAGGGGTCCACTAGGTACACAGAGACAGCTTCACCAAACACACTAGGGGTCCACTAGGTACACAGAGACAGCTTCACCAAACACACTAGGGGTCCACTAGGTACACAGAGACAGCTTCACCAAACACACTAGGGGTCCACTAGGTACACAGAGACAGCTTCACCAAACACACTTGGGGTCCACTAGGTACACAGAGACAGCTTCACCAAACACACTAGGGGTCCACTAGGTACACAGAGACAGCTTCACCAAACACACTAGGGGTCCACTAGGTACACAGAGACAGCTTCACCAAACACACTAGGGGTCCACTAGGTACACAGAGACAGCTTCACCAAACACACTAGGGGTCCACTAGGTACACAGAGACAGCTTCACCAAACACACTAGGGGTCCACTAGGTACACAGAGACAGCTTCACCAAACACACTTGGGGTCCACTAGGTACACAGAGACAGCTTCACCAAACACACTAGGGGTCCACTAGGTACACAGAGACAGCTTCACCAAACACACTAGGGGTCCACTAGGTACACAGAGACAGCTTCACCAAACACACTAGGGGTCCACTAGGTACACAGAGACAGCTTCACCAAACACACTAGGGGTCCACTAGGTACACAGAGACAGCTTCACCAAACACACTAGGGGTCCACTAGGTACACAGAGACAGCTTCACCAAACACACTTGGGGTCCACTAGGTACACAGAGACAGCTTCACCAAACACACTAGGGGTCCACTAGGTACACAGAGACAGCTTCACCAAACACACTAGGGGTCCACTAGGTACACAGAGACAGCTTCACCAAACACACTAGGGGTCCACTAGGTACACAGAGACAGCTTCACCAAACACACTAGGGGTCCACTAGGTACACAGAGACAGCTTCACCAAACACACTAGGGGTCCACTAGGTACACAGAGACAGCTTCACCAAACACACTAGGGGTCCACTAGGTACACAGAGACAGCTTCACCAAACACACTTGGGGTCCACTAGGTA